GGAGACCAAACGGTAAGTACGGCGATCATCGACACCATAGAAGTCCTGCCAATGAGATCCCAAGCTCTTCATAAACCTCTCAATCTGTACTCCACAGATCACCATTAAAGTTCCCAAGAAACACTCCTGAAGGGATCCTCGGATTCCCTCGCTCTACTCGGGGGCTCGTAGACCTTCTGGACTACGGAGTGCCGGCAAGGGATCGGAGCTCGACACGAGTCTAATATTTTTCGAGGAAGAATAAGTCGACATGTCATGTTCCAGCGAATTCCCACCCTCAACTCCTGGTTTCTCACGCTAGCCTGTATAGAGATGTCGAAGACAAAAAGGCCTCATGTATTTTTAAATATATTTTCAGCGGCAACAGGGGGAGGAATGCCTTTTTCAATTTTTTATTCATTTGGGATAATTGACGTCTGATCGTTCGTGAAGAGTGTCGTGAATCGACGTTTCAGCGCGGGGCTTCCACCCCCTTTTTTCATATGACCGAAACGAAATGCATGAATGAATATTGAATTCTCGTCGACGTTTCTACCGCCTCGTCGCCTGCTCTCCATCATTCGAGAGGGAGCAGCTTGGTCTAGGGAGCAGTTTCTATTTGACTAGATTGTGGCCTAGTATCCAAACAGCCTTTTCACCGATGCAAGCCGGCAGTTTGACATTCTCCTTTGATTGATTCTTCCACCTCATCAATCGCTCACCTCGATTCAAAGTCGGCAAGGTTTAGCTGTGACAGCATATCACTACCACCTCGCTAAACGAATGCGATAACGTCAAATCACATGACGATGCTATAGGTATTGGAATTATCCGCAGACTTCGTAAACTATATGCCTTCGCTATCGGTCCGCGGAGTTTTGATCCTAGCAGAAGGTACCGCGGAAGCGGCAGCGGCGACGAACGAATCAGCGGGCGCGCGATCGAACGAGAGAAATTCATATCACCGCTCTTGGCGTCGCCGCTCCGAAGTCTTCTCTACGGCCCTCTGTCGCTTGCCACGCACGCTCGGGGATGAGCAGGAATATCCAGCGACAAATATGTATTCCATGATGAGGATCCTTCTATCTGTATCCAAAATGTGGTGAGACGACCAGGTTGGTATTCCTTAGTAGATGGTAGTTCTTTTCTCCTTCGTTCGCTTGCATTCAATTTGCAGTAATTAGGCGGAGAGGCAAGCTTTCAACTTGTTGTCAGATCGACATCCTAAGGGCATGTTGCCCTGCGCAGCCTAGTCTGCTGGCCGGAAGCTGCAGACCGAAGCTAAACACGATTTTCGTTTTCACTAAATTCACATGTAGCAGGATGACTAAGAGATGCTTGTGATGGTTGTTTTTGATTGACGGTTTCTCTCCGGGAAGAAATCGCGTCCGGAGAGAGGACGGCGAGAATAAACGAGAGGTCCGCTGTAACCCGGAAACGTCGCACTTCTAAGGTCATATGCTCGAACAGAAAATCCGCTCGGGAAGCTTACAGGAAACGTGAGAATTTTCGCTCTTCCCCTCGACCTCTGTAGACTTTCTGTGAAAAGGATGATTCGAGGCTTGTCGTCACTCATGAAGATCGTTCCCGAGTGATCGGTTCCTGCGAGAGGCGGTTGAGATAGGCAGGTTCGGTTGAAGGGAGTCGTACACATAGAAGCATCTTCGAAAAAGTAGATGTCATTGTTCTGGAAGAGAACGTCGACATCAGTCTCTTGCATAGGGACACCGCGTCCGAAGCGGGATTCGGCAAGAATGGATTCATGATCATCGCATGCTCACCCTGTTCCTCATGTAGCTTGCTTTGGCTATCGCAGAAGTCTCTGTAAGCTCTCGACGATGCTGAGTCGTTCACTGGATCATAAGGAACATGGCGCAAGAGAGCGCCATGCCTACCACCAATAAGCAGGCGATGCCTATTCCAACCCCTCCGACGATTTTCGCGTGCCCTTTGACGAAGTCGCGTACCCGGGTGTGGCAATTCTGCAACCAGAGAACGATTCGATTAGCGGCCGCAATCGACAATCGATTCGAAGGATCACGAGAGGACTGAGGAACGTCGACCGACGAGGATTCCGGTAGAAGGATTACCCAATAATTTATAGACTTACATCCATGAAAGTGTCAGTTTCGGAAGGGCTCGCTCTGCAGCCTCCAAGCAACTCTTTCCGCATGCAGCACGAATCAGGCACCTGGGCGTGGAAAGGGATACTTTCATCATTTTCCTCATCATTTTGGTCGCCCTCGTCGCCATATATCGCTGTTGGGAAACCGCTGGGATCATTACCTGCACGTCGCGGTCATTAAAGTGTCTGTTGAGTTGCCAGATCTTGTACGGCTTATCCTCTGGAATTTGGCCCGGAATGCCACAACATTTGAACTGAAGGGAAATATTCACGAGTCCTGAGCTACGCATCGGGGAAACGGATATTCGCCGGAGTGGCCGAAAGCGCGACGGCAAACGTACCAGCGGATGAATGATGTAGTGGTCGAATAAGTACCTAAATGAATCCGTGGATGATCGGGTCTCAATGGACGCCGCCGAAAATCCAGGACTCATGATCGCGGACGTCGAATACTCACGTGTCGCTGAACGGCATCCCAAGCTCTGGTGACAACGCTGTCATTCTTATAAATCGGAATCGACATCAGCATCTCTTGGTACATCCGCTCGTCCACCTAGGGACAGACAAACAGCAGGGGATCGATAAGACATCGACAGTCGTAAGGAAAGTAGACGCTATTGGACACGTTTGAGCGTATAAAGACTTGACAACGATCAACGCGGGGTGTCTGGCGAGCCGTGAGAACTCGCAGAAGCTCACTCCTTACACAGCCCTTGAACCCTGACCACTCGTTCAATTCATCATCAAGATGCGGTCGCATAGCTCGGTCGGTCGCTCGTTCGCTCGCCCGCGTCGACACTGGATCCAACAGTATCGGTCGTGTAGTCCGTGTGGATGTTTGAGCTAGCAGCAGTTCGAGAAAGCCGAAGTCAGTAAGCTCATCTTACAACGAGAGAGACCTTCACATCAGTGACAATCAACGAAAACGATGAAGCAACCTTGGCAACTTTTTCAGCCAATGCCGCATTTGCTTTGCTTGTTCTCCCATACGGCACAGCTCACATGATGCGATTTCGTCGTCGGTCTTCGGCCGTCCGCGAACTCCCCCGCTCAATTGAATCTTCGGGACACCATCCGACAGGGAATCGAATATTGTCCCGTTCGATGAGCATCCTCATCAGGTACCGCGGACTGTCGTCGAACAAGCCGGTCGCCGTTCAACTCCCGCAAATATTTTCGTTTTTTTTTCGTCGAACCCGCGTCGAGCAGGGTGGCTTATCAAGACGGCACACGACATCTCAACGCGATATGGGTCTCTTGGCGATTAGATGGCAAGGAGTCGATGAGGCGCCGCAGTCGACATCGAACCAGAATGAATCCGGTCATCATTCAGGTGAATCTTGTCGGGCGAAGTTGCGTTGTGTTGCCGACGCCGACGCCCGGTTTTGTCATTGAAGCGAAAAGTCGAACACTTACTAACCTCATTTCGGAATACGTAGCCAAGAATTCCTCCAATCATCATAACAATGAATAGCATGAAGAGAATGACGAAAAACTGAAATGAGGCAAGAAAACGGCAATCATTTAGTTCATTTCCGAGGTCGGATGGATCTTCGATCGACTATGAAGAGGAAGGGAACTGTGAAGAGCGAGAAGTCTCTGCTGCGGCATGCGGAGACCGAGCCGTTCCCCCATTCGTAGCCCTTATCAGGCTCTCGAGAAATTATGTGGGATGAGCGTTCATCTTGAGTTCCTTTCCAGACTCCCCAATGAGGCTCCGTTTCTTCCGGATCCCGATCGATTCAATGTGAGCTTTCAGGAAATGATCGGCGTTGGATGGCTCGAGAACTCTCCTAGACGTCCAGTCGGCGGAGAATTCTACAAGAATGATTTACGGCCGTGATTTACGACCGCAATCCGTCATCGGCTGAGCGTCGGCTCGTCTTCCTCTTCGAGCCCGCTGACTTGAGGCTCGCTCATTCCTTTTGGAATGGGTGTAGCGTCTTCTACGAGCGGGGTCTGAGATTTCCGATCTCCTCGTGGTTACGTCTCCACGCGTCGATTTGCGAGCTCGACGGTTTGTTGAGACTGCAGAAATGCCACGCAGGTGTTTCAAGCGTTATCCTCGAAATGCAGCGCGGAGCATGAGCCATTAATTCTCCCTCCCGGATGCAGAGAGACTCGGAATTTCCAGGACCTCTGACCAGCTCGAGGACTCATTCTATTGCACATCGTTACATCGGCTTGAATAGGTATTCCAATGATTCTGAATGCTCGTCCAGAATCGAACTCACTGTTAGAAGCATGCATTTGATTTCCTTGAATGCTCCTAGACAACCTAAAAATGAGACGAAAGTCACAATACAGCCGGTGGCGATGAGAATGGCGGCTGAAGACACGTACAGATCGGTGCCCAAAAGACGTTCCATGAAGCTCCTGCGGAAGAGCGCGGACACTTGAGTTTGGTACGAAACGCCTCCGCAGAGTCGAGAGAAATGTCGCTTATCCATTCGGCTTCGATAAACTGACCTATCTGCGAGGGTCCAGACGCCGACTGAGAAAACAACGATACCTCCCAACATGATAACGAGGTTCGCCACGAATAATGAATACTTCACGACACGACCGCACCCTTCCAGCATTCGCGTATCTGCAAGAAAAAATTCAGATTACGAGATGTCAGGTGAGATTTCAACTTCACCTTTCCTGAGACGCCTGATATTCCACTTCGGACCCATGCGTGACGACGGTAAGCTTAAAAATGTTGACGCTTGGACGAGGTTAATCGAATCGAGGGTCATTAGGAGCTCTACAGTGCCGATGCCTTCCGAAGATGACTGGCTTCCAGATATTCAAACAACGGATAAATCACTCCTCCCTAAAAGGTCAGGGTCATTTTAAGACACCTGATTGTTCGACGAGATTGTGATATTAACCCTGACGACACGGCAGCTGTTCGAACATTTCGCAGCTTTTCTTCCCACGTCCTGTATTTTTTCTCATGTGTGAGTAGGTGTATATTCACGCAAGGGCTTCTCAGTTCTACGTCCACTCGTCTGTACGATTGGAGCTAGGGTCATCACTCCAACCGGGAGAGACGAACTCGATTCTACCGAGCTCGAGGTCGCGCAATTCCCCAGATCGCCACGTCCACATTCATTCGCTTACGTTCGCTTCGCGAGCACAGAGGCGCGAGCTCGGAACAATGGTCAGAGGACGCGAAGGGCGCCCAAGAACAGGAGGCACAAGGGGTAGAGGACCACCAGCGATGATAATCTAAGAGTAGAAGGGCAGTCGGGGGTGGACAGGCAAGTCTCATCACACAGCCGGCAGCGGGGGCGAATTGGAGACTACTCCGAAAAACCTGGGATGAGGTCTCCGGTAGACTTTCCACAATCAGAATGGGACTCCTCCAGTCTGATGCAGGCTCCCATGCGCTTCGAACTATGGGCTTGGAAGAGCTCGGAGGGACTCTCGACGCTGTCGGGTCTGGCAATCCGCCATACCAAGGAGCCATCATTGCTGCGGGAATTTTCCTGAAGAACTTATTCTTCTAAGCATGGCTGACGTGGCAAAAGAGTTGTATCCTGAGGAGGCTTCGCTCAAATAAATCGTATGGAAAGCAGATGGAAGAAAAGTTCTCGCAATGCACACGTTTGAGCCCTGAGACTCCGGCGTTGGAGAAGATTGGCTCCTTGACTCGATTTGATGTTCACACGAAAAAGATCCAAACAAAAACAATTGTTCGGATAGACGTGCGATCCGAAATACTTCTGTGTCGTTTGCAGCTGATTTTTCAATCCCAAGGAAAAGGCTATCGGAATAAGCCTGACAATGACAATCACTAACCACAATGGAGTTGCTCGAAGACTCTTGACCTTCGCAACTTACACCACAACTCCCTCTTGAGCCTCCGGATATATCCCATGACAATGTTCAGCCCCGCGTCGGTCACAATGTCATTACGGAATTTGATGACTTGCGATTCGGGGGTCAGAGCAGGAACCCTCCGCGAGAGGTCAGGAAAGCTTCTACGATGCCCGAGGCGGCAGGACGTTCCGCGGATTTCGGATTTGCGCACTCCCCCGAGGAACAAAAGGAAAATACATTAGGCGGGCTTCCTCCCCTTTCCGGATGTTTCTGATCTCGCAGAATGGCACAGGGATGATTCATAATTATTATTCGTATGCTCTCAGGGGGACTCAAGGATTCCGCGAGCGTCGACAATACATACGAGTTCAGTACTGTGGTTCAGATCGACGCACCGCGCGCTCCATCGAAAGTTTACCCTCCACGCGAAACTGCGCCCGAAATTCACTTTCTCAGAATGACGCTCGGCTGGATCGATGGAAAAGCTTCGATATCCTTAGCTTTATACAGAGGGTTCCCGGCATTCTGTCGGACCCGCGGAGCTTACCGATGAGGAGGCTGGATTCTTGACAATGAGAGCCGTCCCAAATGGAGAGCGAAAGAATTTATCGCCGGAAGTGCCAACCGCGTCTAAGCCCGAACCCCGATGACTGCATCAGCTTTTCGGGTATCCGTACTGATCAAAGTGTTCCTGAAGAGTACGCAACGCCAAGCGAGGCTATGGATGGATTGAAGGATGATATCTACCTCTGAAGTGTCCCGGATCGCTTCCTCATGCCACAGGGACCAGGTATACAAATCACAACATCGGGGGACCGGCATCAGTATCAATCTCCCGCAGGAATTCCCACGGTTCATCCGACAGTGTATCCGCGAACAATCGCAAAGACGGCTCCCGTTCTCATCAGTACACGCTCGACACCTCGTCATCTCTTTCGATATTCCTGACAACAGGCGAGTCAAGCAAATACCTCAATACAATATCCCACAGAAAATCGTCGCAAGCAAACGCGATTCGTTCCCTTAATATTCGCGCATTCGGATTTATGAAGCACGGCTGTTGTTCTTTTCAGAAAAATTCGATGACTTCTACGCGGACAATATGAGACGGCAGTGATCGAAGGCCTTTTCGCTGTGCCGCACCGAAAATCAAGATTCTCAGTCAGAGACGCTCGCGTCGCCGAAGCCTTCGCCGTGTCCGCGATAAAGCATCACCGCGAAGTATTGCGCGTCCGACCGATGGATGGACAGACGGGCGGACAGACGGACAAACCAATCGACCAAGAAGCCAAGCGAGTAAATGAGCCAGAGCTAGATAGAAAGTCGACGACGTAGAAGAATTCCCGTTTCTATCGAAGGACATTTACTAAAAAATTGCGGAAATTTCAACCATTTTTATTGAAAATTCCAAGATACCCTGTCTTACCGCCACGCACGCAAATGCAAAGCCGCTTACGCATTAAATTCTACGCTCTGCTCGAGCGTAATTCCGCGGAAAGTGGCAAAAGACGACGGCGGTGACGGTGGCAGCAACTTCGGCGACGAGCACCGCGTCCCGTGAACATTGCATTCGAAATCGCAATCGGCTCTTTATCCGGCCCAATGTTTCCACGGTTGGTTCGAGCCGTGGTCGCTTCCGCTAAGTTCACAGCTCCCCCACTTCAAGCGACAAAGTTTTCGCCACATGATTGTTTCTGATAAAAGGGGCTATCTCAGCCGGATTTCTTCTTTTCTTCTCGTACTCCAGGGTTCGTCCTGATTCCATCAGGCCAAGACTCCGCTCAGAAGCTCTCGGTCCTCCATCACCATTACGTCAGGGAGAAACCATTTTCTCTTCGTGACATCGAATTTATCAAGCACTGTCTTTGTCGAATTAGGTCACTCGACCGAAGTCCAGAATACCTCCTTAACGAGTAGATCTTCTTCAGAATTTCATATTATGCCTTCGAAGGTCCTGAGCAGAGATAATTCCACAAGAGAAAGTGTCTGTCGTTCGTGGTAGTTAGCTAGAATCAGCTGCCGTTAATCGAAGATCAATTCGGTCCAAGTGACTTCTGAGCCATTACTGTGGGAACTGCGGCGTCGTCTGAGGGAAAAAACGGCTGCAGACTTACGTCGTTTCCTTTCTGATCGGAATTGCGCCTTCGAAATCGACATCGAATCTTCTTTGAGCGACAAAATTCTGCTGTGCCGACGCAGTATCTATCTCACGATAAGGATCATTGGAACCTGTGAGACCTTTGAGACGAGAGGCGAATGAACGAAAATGCAGTTTCGATGAGCTCGCTGCGAGGTTTTCGCTTGATTTGCGGCCGGGGTCTGCCCGAACCCGTGGCTGCAACGCCTTGCGTGACGGTTAGCCCTTGCGAGTCGAAGCTACTCTGAAGGGACACTTCCAGACATCGGACTTTCGACGAGTACGGGGTCGGATCTGACGAGACCACGAAATGAGCTGTATCACGAATGTAAAACGGACCTGGACAGCGGGACGCCTCGGCGACGTCACCGGTGTGAATCGGCGAACGCTTCCGGCTTTGACCGACGCTTTCGCCAAACATAACAACGCTCTGGAAAAGCTAGAAAGAACATCTAGGCGGGGGTTAATATAGGACGCATTACTTATACGCGGTCAACCCGAAAATTCCACTCCGCCGCCACCGCAACCGAAGCGTCAACCAAGACTGTAATATGTTCAGTCCGCAGTGGTCCACTACGCTAGAGAAATATCCGCGTCGACGTCGTTGTACAAAAGCGCAATAATAATGATAATACCACCGACTCTTGTACGGTTATTGTTCAAGCAGCAGGGTATCCGCTGCGTATCGTGCGTAAATCGCAAACAAACATTCATTAGACCTCACACGTAGCGGCTTCTCAAATCGTTTCGACGCTTGCCCTATAAAACTATCGAAGTGTCACGTTTCCTACTCCTCTTCGACCCTCCTGCGACCACTCCGCTTTTGACCCGTGACCGTCTCGATCGCTGCGAATCAATGAGAGGGAAATGTTCCTCGGACAGCTTTTCCGGGATATTTAACGGGCGAATTAATTGCGAGCTCGGGAGCTGCGGTATCCCTCCCCCGAGTCAGAGTTTTCGAAGAGGAGGTACTCGTCAGAAATATTGCTCAAAACCACCCGGGAACAGGGTGAGCTAGTCATGAGTGCATTCCACACGCTTCCGATTGAAGATCGTGCAGTTGTGCGGCAACAGAATCTGGCCCAAAATTCTATCTGATCGGCAGCGAGAAGCGCTGTGTAGAAGTAATTCGGCTGATAACGCTATTAGGTCGCGTCTCGCGACGCTCGTATTTCAAACCCCGAGCGTGCGCTTTCATCAAGCAGAGCATGATCGGGTGCGACCGGAATCGGTTTTTCAAATCGATATGACCCTCTTTTCTCTTTATGCCCGAATTCTTCGATTCTTCATCGATGATATTCGTGGAATCGACAGGCACCCCCACCTCATTCGCGCGAGCCGTTCAATAAGATCAAGAGTCTCCCGCAAGTCTTCCAGAGCACCATTAGGCGAAACGTTCCAGATTTGATTGATGTGGTTTGCGAACGCATGCTTAGCACGTTTTCGATAAAAACCCTTCCTGAGCCAACGGGAGGTCAGGGGTCGATGTGTCAAAACAAAGTAATAGTTTTTTCTTGTTCCCGATGTTGTAACCCAGACACGTGATATGTGCAGACATGGTTTGGTGCGACAAACTGCATTTATCCGAATGACCTATCCTGCGCGTCCAAGAGCGATACACCGAGATAAGATCGAGATGAACTCCGTCTTCGCTTCCATTCCCCAGCTTCTGGTCTCCTAGGCACGAGAGAGACTCCGTTTCTCTGCCCAGGCCTTCCCGGAGACTCCGAGTCGAACCGAAAGTGAATCATGCAGGATCTCTGACTCCGACAATAGTGTCGTCAAAAATGAGATGCCTCAAGAAAATTGATGAGCCATTTCGCAACTGCAACTGTCCATCACTCCGATGAGAGATTGCCTTCCTGGATCTCCTCCGAGCCGCAGGAGCGGGCCCGCCGGGCCGCTTTTCCAATGGCTGCAGAATCCGAAAATATCGATCTTTCTTCTCCTCCGGGAGCTTGCTTACGTTTGCCGCACTCTGTATCGGCCTTCATCCCGGACCTGTCTGGAATTGCTCAACACAGGAGAGGAATTCAGATCACGGGTTCCGAGTCCCGGTCTTCCGGCCGCATCCGAGTTAAGAAGTGCCTCTCACGGATGATTGCACGTTGACACGGTCTTCCCTGTACTGACCACAGCGTCAGGTACTTGGGAATGTCCACCTGCGGCCGTCAGAGAGCGCGCAGTCGCCCGGTAAACGTTTTTCGTGAAGATGGAGGATGAAAAATACGCCCTCTCAATTCTTCCGGAGTCGAAGACCGCTCAAGCAGATGAGGAGTTGTATCTAGCGCCTCGCATTCTTGGATGTTGAGGTCAGACGTACGTGTACGAACGGTGATTTTTTCATGCTCGACCGCCTGGATTCTTATTCGAAGCGTAGCCCACGCTCATTCAAACATTTATCTTTTCTTATCAATGCTTCATCTCCTCGCGGTGGAGGGAGAGGATATCCCATGAATCTTCAATCACACGTGCTAAAAAAGTCTGATGGAAGACCTCATCGAATTGCTGGAGCCTTCAGCTCGCGGGATCTAGTCGAGCTCATACGAAGAATAAGTCATCACGAGATTGAACCATTTGAAATTCTCAACAGAGCGGCCGAACCCGCCGGCTTGGCACTCGGGAACGGGGATCGGGAGGCTACCTTCTGCGCCCGCTCCGGCCGTTGCCGATAAGAAGTCGCTCCAACCACGATAGCCCTAGAAAAGGGCCCGTAGTGGAGGAGCGAGCCCGCATGGAGACGAGATAAGACGGCTCCTGTTTCTCCGGGGCTGTGCTTACGAGGAGCATCTCGAAAACACCGTGCTCCCCCGCCGACTTGCGCCCTCTCGATCGACATATCTCGGAAGCGACCTCCCACGGATCAGACAATCGAAATATTGCTCCGAGACTACAATTTCGCTCTTGATGCAAGCTCTCTT